AGCCTGGGAAGAGTTGTACAGAGTTTGTGTTCTTTCTGCAGATGACATGCCTGGCTGCCAGTGGCCTTTCACTCTTCGTTTAGTATTTTGCACTTAGGAAAATGGGGGGTGAAATGTTGCGTCTGTGAGCATGACAGCAGTCCTTCTCTCATGCAGTGTAATGTGCTCTAAAGGTAATAGCAACAATCCAAGGCCTGAAACAGGAGAAACAAGCCTTGGTCTATTTCTTCAAGGAAGTGCTGTGGAATAAGGAGCTGAATTTGTTGTGTATATCCTTTAGATTAACTCTTACACACATATTTGAGATGGCATTAGAGTGGGAGGAGATTTTAAGGTATTTCAGGAGTGCCACTCCCTTTCCTGCCCCTAGGCTCTTGGTAATTATATTCTGTAGGCTCCCCTATGTAGTCTGGTATCAGAGGAACAGACATTGAGGCATTGAAAACAAGCAAATATATGGAGTTAAGCTTGTGATCATAATTCCTATGCCTGCATTGACCTCTCCTGTACTGTAATGGAATTATCTCATCCCGCAGTGTACTCCTGCAGATGCAGGGAGGCATCTGCGTGTTCACGGGCAGAGATGAGATGTCAGTTGCACTTCTAATACTTTGTCTTACGGATGATAATCTCTGGACATTCATTTGCTTTTAGCCTAGTTAAACTGGTGTGTCTGAGGAGAATCTGTTAGTCTTCAGACATACAGCATCAATTTGATCAACCTGCACTGAACTAATTGGCTTTTTCTGTTTCTCTTGAAATTGTTGCTCGAAGCTTGACATCAGTTTTTATAATACTTGGGTAAACAGTCAATATTTGTGTGTTGTACATGTGTGTAAACAAGCACTCATATCAGTAGGAATATGGCCTAAATCATGGGTTTATGCAGCCAGCTTTTCTGACTGTTTCCACCAGCACAAGGATGAATGTAATGTGGTGATTTAGTAGATAAGACAGAGATTAAGATTTCTCTAGCTTTTCCACACCACACACATTTCTAATAATTTTTAAAAGTTCGCTTTTATGGCTGTTGTGGACATACTTGAGTATAGTAAAAGACAGCGTTGCACTTTTCTGTTTCCCTCATCCAGTTAAATGTTTGCTCTTTGCAATATGTGTGCTATGTGAGGAATTCAGATGATTTATAGTCAGGACACTGATTTGCAGATTTTTCTTATCTTAGACATTTCTTTTAAGTACCTTTCATGCTCCTACCAGGCTCTGCCCTGAACTGAAGGAAAACCAAGATTTGTTTAGGCTTGTTTCAGTGGCCTTCCTCCTTTTTACATTAGAAAGATTTCTATGTGAAAAGTTGCATTAGTGTTATCTTAGCTCTTGGTAGGAATGGAGTTGTTTCATAACCTTCTTGGGGTTTATTTTTTTTTGTTTGTTTGTTTGTTTGTTTGGTTTTTTTTGTTATGAGTTTTTGTATTTTATTGTTGTTTTTTTGCAGGTTCTGTTTTGTTTTGTTTGGGGTATTGTTTGTTTTTTTATTTTCTTCCCACCCTCCCCCCTCTCAATCTTTGAAAGTGCATCAACTCTAGAGACAGTAATTAGAGGTTGTTTCATCTGTGATTGTCTTTTTGGATTCCAGTTGAGGACTGTGTGTTGAGGTCAGCAGGACTGTTCAGGTGTATGAAGCTATTCAGATGCACGGGCATTTGTAGTATCAGTGCGTGGCTTTTTCTGTTGTAGAAAGTAGTGGTATTGAGCCTGGGCTTATGTGGATAGGTGTTGACTTTTTTTTTAGACTAATCCAAAATAATTAAATATAATCCTCGTTGGAGCTTGACTGGTTATTTAAATGTACCTGTAAAGAATAGGATGAAACTGTAGCTGCATAAAGCTCTTCCATAATAGCATCCTTATTATTCCTCATCCAAATGCATCTCTTTAACTATATCCTTTACTATTTATGTCCAGTACCCTTAAGTTGAATGTATTTCAGGTTCCAATCAGTTTGAAAACAGTTACTCTGGTGCTCTTTGCGAGCTATTAAAAAATAATTTACAGTTGCTTTACGTTTGTGTCTCTGTGGTGTGGATAAACTCACACCTGAAAACTGCAGCTGCACAGGTGTCATGGTTTGACCCCAGCCAGCAACTAAGCACCACTCACTCCCCCACATGGGACTGGGAAGAGAACTGGAAGGGTAAAAGTCAGAAAACTCGTGGATTGACATAAAGACAGTTTAATAGGGAAAGCAAAAGCTGCACACACAAGCAAAGCAAAACAAAGAACTAATTCACTGCTTCCCTTGGGCAGGCAGGTGTTCAGTCATCCCCAGGAGAGCAGGGCCCCGTCATGTGTAAATTGGGAGGACAAATGCCATCAATCCAGATGTGCCCCCTTCCTCCTTCTTCCCCCTGCTTTATATGCTGAGCATGATGTATGGTCTGGGATACCTCTCTGGTCAGTTTGGGTCACTTGTCCCAACCATGTCTCTTCCCAACCACCCATGTACCTCAGACTTCCTTATCAGTGTGGCAGTATGAAAACCCCAAAGGGCCTTGGGTCTGTGTGAGCCCTGCTCAGCAATAACAAAAACATCTCTGTATTAGCAACCCTGTGTTCTGCACAAATCCAAAACATAGCCCCATACTTGCCACTGGGAAGAAAGTTAACGCTATCCCAGCCAAAACGAGCACAACAGATAACTAAACCTGGTGCTGCTCTGTGCTGCTAAACTGCCTTCCAACCCCAGTACTGTCCTTTTCTCCTCGTGTGAGCAGAAGAGTTAGAAGACTGGCTCACGCATTCGTTCCTTTCCATCAGGTTTTTATACTCAGTAAAAATGTACCCCTGAACCTTCTCTTCTCAAGGCTGAACAGTCACAGCTCTCTTACTTAGCCCCTGCTCCTATAAAGATGTTCCAGGCCCAGTGATGGTTCAGGCATCTCTGTGACCTTGCACTGGACTTGTTCAAGCAAGTCCCTGTCTCTGTGTATGGAGGAGCGCATAAATGGGCACAGAAATTCATATATGGCCTCATTAATGTTAAGCAGAGAGGAAGGATCACCTCCCTAGGCTTGCTGGCAACACTTTGTGAGGCAGTCCAGGGTACTGTTGATCATCTTTGCCATGGGGTTGTATTGCTAACTCATGGTCATCGTACTGTCCATGAGGATCCCCAGACCTTTCTCCGGAGAACTGTCCCCAGCCAGCCAGCCCCCAGCATGTACCGGTGCTTGGGATTTCACCTTGCTGAACTTCAGATTTCTCTTGGCCCATTTCTCCCACTTCTAAATGGCAGCTCAGCCATCTGGTTTGTCAAGTCAGTCCTCACAGTTTTCTGTTGTCTGCAAACTTGATGATGAAACTTGATCCCATCGTCCGGGTTGTTAATGAAGGTGTTGAAGGGTATTGGTCCTGGTATTAGCCCCTGGAGTATAATGCTAGTGACTTGCCTTCTAGTGGACGTGGTGCAGCTGATTGCAAGCCTCTAGGCCTAGACATTCAGTGAGTTTTTAGTAGATCTCACTGTCCACTTACCTAACCCTTGCTTTCTCAGAGTGTTTATGAGGATGTTATAGAAGACCATGATAAAAGGCTTACTGAAGTCAAGATAAAGAACATCCACTGCTCTTCCCTTAGCCACTAAGCTAGTCAGTTTATTGAAGAAGGTTATCTTAGTCGATAAGCATGATTTCACCTTCATAAATCTACCTGGACAACTCTCAATCATCTTCTTTTCCACCATATGTTTGGAATTTGTTTCCAGGTTTAGTTGCTCCATCACCTTCACAGAGACTGAGGTTAGACTAGCCACACCTGCAGTACCCTGGATTACCCTTCGTACCTTTCTTGAAGATATGAGTGCTGCGTGCTCTCTTCCAGTCTTTAGGAATCTCTCCCAATCGTTGAGACCTTTTAAAGATTATTGAGTGTGACCTGGAATCAGCCAGCTCCCTCAGCTCTTTTGTGTACAACCTGTCAGGTTCCAATAGACTGAAATTGTCCAGTTTGTTTTAGTGCTCCTTTGCTTAGTCCTCCACTGAAGGTACATTTTGATCTCTATTTTTCCTGTGGTCTCGAGGGCTCGAGGTTCCCGAAGGCCTGTCTTACTGGTAAAGACTGATATGAAGAAGGTTGTGAGTACCCCAGTGTGTTCTGTGCCTTTAGCCACCAGGTCCCCTGCCTCATTCAGCAAGTGGGCTGAATGGGCAGGCTGAATTAATACCCAAACGTTGTGAGATTCTCCAAATTATGCTGCTGCTCAGTTGTTCCATCTCCCCCTTCCCTCTGCAGTGGGCTGGAGAGGAGAATTAAGAGTCACAAAAGGTGAAGATCATAGGTTTAGATAAGACCAATTTACTGGAAACAGCAGTGAGATAAGAAAATGAACAGTAACAGCAACAATATTAATAACAAGAGCGTACAAAAGAGAGAGTGGGTCACATGCAGAAATGCTCACCGGGGAGCTTTACCTGACCCAACTGCAGCCATGCCACCCTGTCCCTTTGGCTTTGAACTGGTACCATCCCACTGCTCCCTCCACCATTCTTACTTGACTGGAAGGAACCCCTGCTCCCTGGAAGAGACTCCCTCCCCCCACCCCTGCCAATGACCTGAGGTGGTATTAATAGGAGGTAGAATAACCTCCAGGTTCTAGCCATGTGCCCTTCTGGCTACTGCAAAACCCCTGTCCTGGCCGGAACCAAGATACTCGATTTTCTATCGCTCTGCTGTTTAAGTGCAGATGGTGTATATGTACCCAGGATGCTTGACTAGATGTACCTGATTAACACTCTGGACTGTGGAATGCAAAACATCTTGGAACAGATGGGTCCTTTCTTGTGTGGGGAATGTATGCTGGAGGACTGATCAAACAGTTTGAGTGTTGGGATTCTGTAATCTTTATTCCATGCACCACTTGACCTGCTGGATGTTTTCAGCGATCAACATAATTTTGTGAAGTAACTTGTTAGTGCTCAAACAAACAAAAACTCTTCAAATGCACATGGTTTTTCAAGTTGCTTTTACTTTTTTTTTTGCCACAGAATCTCAAAGTTACGCGGATGCCATTAACCACTCTATGGTGATGTCTGACAGCACTGTGGGCACTAATCCTTCTTTGCTGAGGGCCAACATGCAGATGGATCTCTCCTTTCAGCGCTGTTTTGCATCTTCGTGTACTGTTTCAAGTAACAGTGCTATCCCAGGGGCAGAAAGGTAGGAAAAGATCCCCCTCCTTTTTTCTTTAGTGCTTATAACTATAGTTCCCAGCCAAGACATTATGCTTGCATCTTCATTGCAGAGCGTTTGTCTAGGGACTTTGAGTTTGGTTGTGACATTTAATGCTCATGTTGTCCACCAGCTGGAATTTACCACAGATATTACTTATATGTCGGGGACACAATTAGTTTTGAAGATACAGAGGAAGACAAAAATAATAGGATTTTATAGCTCAGTTATGTTATGTACTAGCACAAGCTCATATATGTTTTTCTGTGTGCCTAATCAGAATCTCTAATGGTTTGCTGAAAACCATTTCATAAAATTTCACATTGGTATATGAGAGAAAGAGAGCCCTCTTCTTGCTGCATGTGTTTTTAGTCAGTAAAATGTCCGTTGGTTTGTTTTGATAGTGTATAGCTGACTCCCCTACTACTGCTCAGCAGGCTTAGAAATTTTATTATTTTATAATTGTATTGTGATAAACTTGTAGGGCTCTGGACCAGAGCTTGAATAGTATAAATTTACAAAGTAGTCATTGTCCAGAGGATCTTATAGAATAAGCTGAGAAATGGCAAGAAACAGCAAGCAAAGAGTCTCTGGCTGCTGTTTGAGGGTTCAGAACACCATAACAATAATCGTAAGTCATTAGTTGTGCCCTATATTGACTTAATAAAACAGGGTGGTGTATTACACCTGATGAGGTTACCTTCTCTATCACTATGCAACAATATTCCTTTATGGCTGATTATCCTATTCTTGTTCTTGGCTATTTGGTTGCTTTTTTGCAGTAAGTATTTGGGAATGCTGTTGGTTGGTGTGTCAGACTCTCAGTGAGTACTTCAAGTGTGTTGTCATCTATTTGTCTTTTATTTATCTTCCAATATCATTGGTTCAATTTTCAGTGAGTACTGAGACTGTGAAAGAATATTTTGGTTTTGTGATTACAAATGTGAATCATAAAACTGAAAAAAGCATGTTGCTGTTTGTTGCAGAGGATGCAATGCAACAAATAAGTGGATATATATTAAAAGCTTATCAGACAATGCAGTTATTATCAATTTTACATTCGTACTTCAGACTTTAGCGAGAAAATTTTGTTCCCTTCTTTCAAAGTATTTTTTCTGTCATTTTTCATTTCATCCAGCAGATAGCTACAGCTGTTGTTGTGGTCTTTTTTTCTTGCAGTGATGTCTTCTTCCATTTGCTTCCATTCCATTTCTTTATGGCCCTTCTACTTTGAGCTGTTCAAATCTACTGGTATTCATGTCCACAGTTCCATTTTAATTAAATATCCTTTCCTTTTTAATATATATCTTATATCAGCTCTTTCCGCCTTGCATTTCAGAATGAGTTTGTTCCCTCTAGATTTTATAATATTAGTAATATTTTCCAGCTGCAGTCTAAGGACATTCATTTTTAGAAGCAAGGAGACAGCTTAAACTTTTATTGGATGATTTCATCAGAAGCTCAGTTTGTCTTGTTTGGAAGCAATTTTTATTTATTTTTCACTTGAATGGGTAGATTTGCTACCCAGTAGAAAAATCTAATGTTTACTGTTGAAATATTTAATTCTAATTCTATAAGTCAAAATTATTCCATTGTGAAATAAATCAACGGTTGGACCTGCCTCATTTTTTAAATATAAATTGTATTAAAAGGAACCTGGTCTGCAAGAAGGGCCTTGTGAACTGTGGTGGAGTTTGTTTGTTTGTTTGTGGTTTTTTGGTTGAACAAAAGACAACCTGCTCTGTGTCAGGTTCCTCCTATAAACCTCTGCCTTTGATGGCAGCTTTAGCATAAGAAATTCTTGCCACTTACTGCTCTTTTCCAGGTAGAACTTCAGCTCACCAAGACCACTGTATGTGAAGCAATACTGCGAACAGCCTCGCTAAACTCATTCGTATTAAAAGTGACCCTCTCAGTTAGGGAGAGGGCGAAGTATTTTTAACTGTCATTGATTTGATGGACTGTTCTATGGTGCAAACTCAGAATCTATCCCATCAACATGGCTAGGTGGAGGGTGAGATAAGTAGAACATAGTAACCTACACTGAAGAAATGAGTGTCAGGGTGAGAGTGGAATCCCTTGATCCGGCTGCATTACTTGGTCCAGCATGTTTTCAAAGAGCACTCTGAGGTTTTGTCCTGGGTGTGGTGTTTCATTGCTTTCAGTGATTGCTGAAGTATGGGTTGTACAGTGACATTTTAAAAGAATGATTTGGCTGTTGTTTTATTTTTATGTTCAATTTTTGGCTTTTTTTGTGTTTGTTTTTTTTTTTTTTTTTTGACAGCTCTTCTGCAACAGAACGTCTTTGGCTTGAAAGCAGCCCTACAACTTCCCTATCACCTCAGTTTTCAGTGGGAAACACCAGGCAGCCGGGAGGTTACCTTCTGCCCTCTGAATTTTCAAATGCTGTGCAAGACGTCTCTCTCTTGTCTCATTTCCAAACTCCAGGACTGCAAGTGGTCACCCTGAGCAACGTGGAGAATTCACCAGCAGAACCACAGCAAGAACATGCTCTCAGTAGCAGTGCCCATGGCTGCCTGAGCTACAGGGAGGCTGTCAGGGGCAGTAGCTCTCCTGGAGAGGAGATACAAGCTACTTGCATAGCGAATGCTAGTACCTCTCCTAAAACCCTGAGCTCATCAGTGGCAAGTGCTGAGGAGAGTGACTTTTTGACACAAAACTTTCTTAGAGTGACCTCTGGGCACAACAGCCAGAACAGTGCAGTTCAGCAGCACCGTGGAGGGAACCTGCGTGCTCAACCCCCTCTTCCAGAGAAGAAGAGGTCCTCTGAAGGAGAACGTTCCTTTGCCTCGGTGTCGCCTTCTTCAAGTGGCTTCTCTAGCCCTCACAGTGGAAGCACAGTCAGCATTCCCTTCCCAAATGTCCTCCCAGATTTCTCAAAAATGTTAAGCCCTTCCCCAGTGCCAGGTAAGTTCTTCATCAGAGAAATTCAGAATGCATTAGATTTTATATGAGTTTATAAAAAAGCATTTAGGGGATTTTAAAAGTGGAAGTGAGAATGAAAAAAAAAGAGAGGGAAAAAAAAGCAGTGGAATGGAAATGGCACAGAGGACTTGAATGTTTGCAGTAAGTGGTGCCAGTTCACTGTCTTTGGATGTATTATTCAGAAAACAAGGATGCAGAGTTCTTCCTGCACTTCCTAGATGTGAGCCAAGAGCAGCCTACCTTTTCAACTGCCAAACTACAAGTGAGTAATGTGGAGTCCAATTTCTTTTAAAAAGGGCTGGCTTCTCTCTGCCCCTTTTAGACTTGTGTCAAGAATAGTTAAAAATGTAGATGTGTGTTCACTGGGCCCTATGGTGAGAAGTGTGTATTTAATACAGCTCTCGAACTATAAGAGTTTTTAATATTTTGTGGATTTTGCAAAATGAAGCTTCAAACGCGCTTTCAGAATCTTAGTGTGGTTTATCTTATATCTTACTATATTTTCTGGTTCTAAAACAGCTCAGTGCCTTTAAATTGTCCTAATGATGAGATTTTTTGAGTAATTAAGGTGATTGGACATTAGAAAGAAAAGTAAAAATGCTTTTGTATTTAAAAAATTTCTTGACTTTTTCCCCTTTTATTTTACAGAAAACACAGCTGATAAACATGTGACTGTTAAATTTGTTCAGGACACATCTAAGTTCTGGTATAAGCCCGATATTTCACGAGAACAAGGTATATCAACTGATACATATTCTGGTATATCCATTCACAGAAAAGCTGGTTGGTGAAATCTCGTTAAGTTTTTTTGATACATCCCTGATGTTTAAAAGAAATATAAAACCTAGAAGGGCCACAGACAACCTCACTTAATTTCTTTGGTTGAAAGGCTGCATTTGAGTGTGGAGGGCAGTCAAATAGTCCTTAAAAAATATCCAGTTAATCAGACAAATTATTAACGTAACTGAATGAACTATGAAGTAATTTAGATCTTTATATTTTAAATCTAACTGCTTGAACAAATGAGATGAAAATCTTCCCAACCTATTAATATGCCTCTTTTCTTGAAGTAAAATTCCTTTTAAAAAGTGTTTTAAGATACTGTTGCTGAGGAGGGGGAGCATTTGTTATTTTTTTCTGTGTTTAATAGGATGTTGTTGTGACAAATTATTTCTGTATATCTAAAAGTATCATGTGAGTACTGCTGAATTGCAAGGTTTTACGTATTCATCCTCATCCATCCATCTTTCTGATCCTAAGAAATTCTCAAAACAAACACAAGTATTGCTAAAAAGCTGGGGGCTTGCGAAGCAAAGTACAAAGGTTTTATTAAGATGAGTCTTGAACTTTTTGTCTGTTTTCAAAATAAGTTTAAAATTTAGGGCGACTAGACTTCCAGCAGACTCATGCAAAGCAATTGCAAGTGGTTCCTCCTGGGTAGGTCTTCATATCACACTCGCAGAAGAGATCCCAGAATATAGATGTAAAATATTTCAATGCTTGGACAGTCAGAGAGCAAAATATTCACTTACATCCCTTCCTTTGCTTTAAAACTACTAAGGGAGTGAGACTGCTTTGCAGAGACAGAAACTTGGTGGTGAATGAAAACAAATCTGTTCTGCCTGTTGAAGCTGAATAGGAAGTGAAAACCAGTGCTGTTTAGTGACTGTGGGAATTACAGAGAGCTGTGCAGTCTGTAGCACTTTTAATAAGCTGACAAAATCTAACCAGAAATCAACTAGCTCTTGCAATGGTTGTAGGAATCCTAGTGGGACCTTAGCACCCTTCCCAGTTTAAAAATCAGTAGGGATCTGTACTTCAGGCTTCTTTAAAAGAAGTCTCTGTGAAATTTGGTCAAGGTGTTTCCACTCGGGTCCCCCAAGTATGCTTAACTGTATTTCTGTTCTACAGCAATTGGAGAAAAGGATCTTATTTCCTGTAATCTTGTATTAATTATAGATTTGCAGTTCTGTACGTGTTGAGTCTGTGCATTGTACTTCAACTGTTTTTCTCTTTTTCTTTCCTGGAATACCTTGCAGCCATTGCTGTTCTCAAGGACAAGGAACCTGGGTCATTCGTTGTTCGAGACAGTCATTCTTTCCGGGGAGCCTATGGGCTAGCAATGAAAGTTGCTACACCACCTCCATCTGTGCTGCAGTTAAAGAAAGGTACTTAAGGACTTTATTTATGTATTATTAAACAAGCCATACATAGTAGGAAGTCGTTATTGCTGGGTAATAATCTGTTGGAATCTTCCCCTCTTCTCATAAGTGCAACTTGAATTGCAGGGTACATTTGGTACCTTGTTAAATGCGACTGGTTAAGATGCCTCTTGTACTGTACAGTTTCGCCATGATTTGTGAATCTTTTCAGTGTGGCTGTGCATATGTTGTACCTTCTCAACCTAAAAGAAAATCAGTATCGTCTCAGCAATTAGTCCTCCCTAGCAATCAGACATCTGCATTTGATTCACAGACCACCGTGTCAAGCTTTCGCTTGGCCGGAGAGTTGAATATTTTTGACCCCAAAGTTCTGTTTTCAGACAGTTCTACTTCAGATATAAATCTGAGGAGGTTCCCTAAGGAAAGATGGCGATTGTTTTAAAAGAAGTGGTAAAATACACCCAACTCTGCTGGCTTCAGTGCCTCCATGTGCCTGATGGTTGTGAAAGGTAGAATGAGAAGAACGTATAGAAATTATTAATCGATGTATGGAAACTCAGCCTCCAGTATCTGTAGTGTTCTTGGCTCCATTTGTGCTACTGCAGGGATAGCGGAGTTATTTTTATTGCTACTGTTTTTCTTTTACAAAGCTTATTATGTTTCATTAGTACATTCTGATTGGTGAGCTAAGCAGCAGAGATCATAGGAAAGCAATGATTCTTAGAGTTGTTGTTATGGACGTGTGTTTTTGTCTGTTTTGGTTGGTTGGTTGGTTGGTTTGGCTGTTGGTTTGGCTTTTTTGGGTTTGGGTTTGCTTTCTGTGGGGCTAGGTTAGCAGCCCACCTCTACTGCATTAGCACTTTCAGATTTTGTTTCAATCTGGTATCTTGAAACAACTTTTAATAACAATTTGCCATGTAGTTCTTCTTTTTGTTGCTAATAAACATTAGCAGAACCACTTCAGTGTCACAAAGACAATAGGGGGTCATGATAGTTACAACAAGTACAGGAAGACATGAAAGTTCAAACCCTGCTAGCCTTTAAGAGACAGTTTATGTTGGTAGTACCACAGGCAGGTGAGACTAGCATTCTTCCATGTCTTACTTGGTGATATTTAGCCTTTTTGATTTCCAGTGTTTCATCCCAAAACGCACAAATTTGTTCAGTTTCCTGCAGGGTTTCTTGTTCCGGGCTTCCCCTTCCCATATACCTTGTAGTCATTTATTTTTAATTTTGTGAGAGCATAATGGCAAACAGTAAACTTTGAAAAAGCGATCTTTTCAATATTTACTGAATTAGAAGTTTCTGCTGTCCATATTAATATGTTTATCTGTATTAGTCTGAAAATCAACTCATTGATGTGTTTCCTACTAGATGGGAGTCAAAGGGAGCATTTGCATTTGTTGCTCTTTTGTTAAGGTTTGAATGATTGCGTGGTAGCTTTGTCCCGTTGCTGGGAAGTATCCCTGTAATTATTTGGAGTGGGATTCAGTTTGTAGTTAGTTGTAAAATATTGTGAATGCATCTTTCAAGAAATAATTAGGTTGCTCTAATTATATCTCTACATATGTATGTATATGTTTAAAAGAATGCTAAATCTCAAGGGAATTTTTCACTGTCTCTTGGACTTTGAATCTCCTCATTACATCCAACTTAACAATTTCGGGTTTGTCCTAGATTCCAGGGATAAAAACGGTCTTTAAAAATCTGTTGAAACCTGAGTGTTTCATGTAATATATTTGTTTTCAGGAGCAGAGGCTTAGCATAAAACTGCACATATTTTGAAATTTAAAAATTCACTGAAAGACTTGGCATCATTACCTTCACGTAGCTAAATCTTCTATTGTTTTAATATGGAAAAGTTCTGCAAACAGAACTGTCACTGGAAATTTGAATATTTCTTCGTAGTTCTACTTTCTTGTCACACTGGTTATGAGTTCTTTCAATGGGCGAGTGCATCAAAATTTCTAACCATTCATTTTCCAAATTTCCATTCACATCTGTAGTTGTGACCATGCTTGGGCATTTTGGACAAGTGTATGTTTGGATGTCAGTCACTTATGGATATAAAACCATTTCCTCTGGTTGTCTAAAGTGAGCTAGTTGCTTATTTATTTGTCACAAAATGGCCTTTTTACTACAGCTTGTAATTTAGCAGCAAAGGACATCTAATGTATTCTTCGTGTGCCGTATATAAAACATGGGTCCTCATATGGAAAAACTGCTTCATGAAGACCTGCTAATTTGTGAGAATTGTCAGTTCATTGCTTCTTTACATGAGCTTTCTTTTTCAACACAGTTGGAGATTTCTCAAATGAACTCGTAAGGCATTTTCTAATTGAATGTACTCAGAAGGGGGTACGCTTGAAAGGATGCCCGAACGAACCATATTTTGGTAAGTACTGTGCATCACAGGGACAGAGAAAATGGAAACAGTTTGCATTTGCCAACGCTGACTTCAGTGGAGTGCAATTGATAGAATACTTTGATCGAGACCTGATGACTGCTGTAGGAATCCATTGTAAGATTTCAGGAGCCCTGTACACACTTCCTTAAGTGGATGTGCAGGGTGCACAGACGCACATGACCAAGCTTCAGGCAGTCAGGCTTGTCAGCTTGTCGCTGCAGATAGCTGAGCTGGGTCACTGCTATGGTTCTTATTGATTCAGGACCTTTGCCTTATTTTGTCTTGTTTATATTTATGCTCTAAATAACTGGCTAAAATGAGGCCAGAATGATACATTCACAAAGTACATTATGCTGTGCCAGCCCACCCAATGTAATATGATAACTGTAATGATCAACAGCCAAACACCTCCCTAGCTGCTCACTCATTTGCTTTTCTCAGTGGGGCAGGAGGGGAAAATAGGATGAGAAGGCTTGTGGTTGGAGGTGAAAACAGGAAGATGCTAACTAGTTACTGAGCAAAAGAAACTCAACTTGGGGAAAATTAAAGATTTTCCAATTAAAATCAATATTCAGGCAGCAGGATTTTGAGGAATACATTCAGTGCATAGCTCGGTGTGCAGCTGCAGTGCGAGCTGCAGGTTGAGCGTAAGTCAAGATGCCGTGACTTGCTGACACTTTGTATAACAAAGGGCCTGTGGACCTGTGGTTCAGCCAGGGGACAGGATGCTGAGAGGCACGGCAGGAGCCAGACTCCCAGATTTTCCCCTGCTTAGACTGTAAGGGTATAAAAGCCCAGGGGTTCTTGTGTTTGGGATTCCTCCTGAAGGCACACAACTTGAGTTTTTATTTTGTTATTTAGTTTACTGCACCAAGATTAAATTATTTTAAGTGTTGGGATGTCTGAGACTTTGCTATGGGAAACCTGGGTTGATCCAGTAAGGAAACTGGTCTGACCGTGAGTGTGGGGTGTGTAGTTCCTGCAGAGGGGCCTCAGTCCCAGCTCACATGGTGTGACAGTGATAGCCAGAGTGGCTCCTGGATGATTAGTCAAGGAAGTTTCCTTAGCATAAGAAAAGACTAGTATGTAAATAGCTCTTATCCTTCCCCTTTCCAAAGCTCAATTTCACTGCTTCCCCAAAGACTTCTCTTACCCACTATAGGGGGTGGAGGGTGTATGGTCATTACAAAACAGTTCCTCTGCTTCTTTATCCCTCTCCCAGTTTTTACCTGCTGAGATGTGGGCTTTCCCCAGGGGCTGCCACCCTTCAGAAAATCTGTTCCAGCATGTATTTTCTGTAGACCACGTGTAGACCAGCTCCTTCAGAAAATGTCCATCTGCTCCAATGTGAGGGCCCCCAGAGGCCACAGGGTGTGGAGTGTCAGCCTGGATGTAACCTAACCCTAACCCTCCCACCCCCTGCCACAAGCCTTGTCACATCCACCCAATACATTCATGAAAGGGCCATCTAACATTAAATAAACAAGTGTAAAATGACAAATCCTGTTTAAAGTAAACGTGGATTCAAGTTTGTTAGTGTTTGGCATGAGACTTACTTCAATTCAGAATTTTTAGTCCATTCCTACCTTGATCTCAAAGTACCTGTTTATGGCACATATGTAGCCCTACTAATTATTAGTCTGAGCATCTCCTTATCTCATAATCTTTCAATGTATGCAGCCTCAAAACCGCTTCACAAAGTAGGTGGACAGGCACTATCACACACTTTTGCGGGAAAGACAATGAAGGAATAATAGTTTGGAATAATTGGTCTTTACATTTTTGTAAGAATTGGGTCATCTTTCCATTTCAAAGAAATTTTTGAAAAATGAGGTTGGGTTTGGTTGAACTGGGATTTTTCTCCAGCACGTGGTTATAATGTTTGATGTTTGTTTGTAAATGGGATTGAAGGATAGTTTTTTTGTACAAACAGATTGACAGATATTGTGCTTTCCTCTCACTGCTTAGAGTATAGTATAGACATGCTAATGTCGAGGATGATTATTTTAATTAAGTCAAGTACAAATGACAAAAGCAACTTTGAGTAAAAAAAGAAAAATGTAATAGAGAATGTGATGTACCTCACTGCTGCATTGAATGAAAGGGGTTTTACCCAGGCCATCTTTTACACTTTTAGAAGTACAAAACAGAGGTGTGTGTAGACAGAACACTGGACAGTGAAGGTGGCTAAGAGGTAGAACTGCTCTGTCTTTCTCTGCCTCATAATAGAATAGTGAACTCTTGTGTTCTTATCATCTTCATAAGATTTTACTGCATTTAATGTAGCAGAAGGTAAGAGGTTTGAAAAGAATCTACTGCCTGTATTTCGCCTTTTTTTTTTTTTTTCTTTGTGCTTTCTCCATTTGAAGCAAAGACATTTAGGTTAGGATTTAAGCAGTGTGTTTAAGCAGGGAAAGGGGCATATGATTGTGATTAATGAGTTCAAGATCATCCAACTAGGATGGTGTTGGGAAGCATGAATACACTGAAGTTGACCCAAGATGATCGTGGGTCCTTGGTCTCTTGGTACCAGGAGATTTTTTTTTTAAGGGAAGTAAAAAGGGCCCGTGGTCTATAAAATACTTGAAAACAAACATAACTTGTGCATTCTTTTTGTCCACCAAGTTAACTGTGCATGTGGTTTTACTTTTCTGGTCACAGGGAGTTTGACAGCTCTGGTGTATCAGCATTCCATCACTCCACTGGCGTTGCCCTGCAAGCTCCTTATCCCAGACAGAGGTATGCTTGTTAAGTACAGAAGAGAGACATCCAGGCAAGCTCTGCTTCAAAGTGTCAGTGTCCAAAGGCAGGTGAATGTGTCACAAGTCGAGAGCTAAGCAAAAATGCACAGGGAAGCAAGCTGTGTTTTAAAAGTGGTTCTTCAGTACTGATGATGACCCTTATCCTAGGTGTAGCTGTGAACATACTAGTACTGTGCTATTCCAGTCATAAACATCTATGCATCATGGAAATCCACACAGTAATCTAGCAGGTAGGAAGACAAATGTACTTCTTAGACATTATATTACGCTCATGCATGGTTAGATTTGACCACTCATTCAGGTCTGAGTGGCAAAAGGGCAAGTAAGTTAAGAGCAGAAGGTGCCCTGAGTGTGACACCAGCAGGAAGGACATAGCAACTTACACAGATTCAAATGTAAGTAAATGATCAAAAAGCCTGTGTTGCTTTGTGGGATTATAATTCTGATTTTGGTTATGGTGATTTCATAAGCCACTTTTAGACAACAGCAAAATAATGCTATGCTTGTTTTCTGTTTGCAGATCCCTTGGAGGAGATAGCAGAAACTTCTCCGCAAACTGCTGCAAACTCAGCTGCAGAGCTTCTCAAACAGGGTGCAGGTCTGTTAAACTTTTTCCTTGCATTTGACTGTCACCAAAGTTTGTATCTTACAGGCTGGGAAAAGCTGAAGCTTAGGCTGGACTAAGGACGTGTAAAGGGAGCAGTTAAATTTAGAGTACTGTATAGAAGTGTAAAGGGCAGAGTGTGGATATGTACCAGGTTCTTTCTGTTTTCTGCAGTCAGCTCCTAAGTTCTACAATTATGTATTTGCTTTCCAGTCATGTATTTCATGAGACTCTGAGGTATACAGAGGTTTCTTCAAGCACAGCAGCTTTTAAGCAGTGACATTGCTTTCTTAACTGATGATCTTAGAGAGGATATTTTCAACCTGTGGTTGCAGAGGTTCATGAACTATGTCTGAGGTCGGCAAAAGACAACTAAGGAAGATGTACAGTAAGGTTAAGTTCTTGTTATAGGGGTCAACGATACCACTGGAAAATGCTTACTGTTCTATCAATCTGAAAAAAAACCCAACAACAACCAAACACAATACCCTGTGCTTCGCTTGATGCTGTGCTGCATGTTGTTAGGAAATGTCCTGTGTCTTTCCCATTGGATGCTGTTCTAAGGATTCTCATGCATACTGCAACACCCGTTCTGGCAAGTTAATTTGTCTTACCATGAGTTTATTGCTGTGACAGAAGAACACTGACCAGACCACCTCCAAACAATGTGATGCTGTGCGTTGGTACCATCTGTATCACTCTCAAATGGAGGTATTGGCAGCAGCTGTGTAGGGGCAGCTCTGCTGCTTATCTGCTTTGTTTGTTTACAGCTGATCAAGAGGGAGCTAGTTAAACAGCCTGTCTGAAAAAGTGTGGTGGCATCCTAACTCACTGTACTGGCTATTGCTCTGAGTACCTCTTAGTAATCTTAAGGCTCTCCTAAGAAGAAATGCAGCCACTATGTATGCCCAGGAAATTCTGTCCAAGCCTTCCCTGGTTTTCAGGCTGCTGTGAATTCTCCCTAGGATCTATCCACCGAGTTAGTGCTGTTAGAGCATGAGATACACTTCATTTGCCACTCTCCTTTGAGTTTAGTCTACTACTGGAACCACAAGTGAGTGTTGTGACCAAGCATGCCTTTCTAAGAATGCTGCCTCGTAGCCCTCACCTATTTTAGAGCACTTCTGAAGGAGGCAGTTGCCAAGCTGAGCAGGTTTGGAGAGAATGTTGCTCTTTGCTTGTGCAGCAATCTGCTTTGACATAAAAATGTGAAGTACTACTTCAAGTGCTGTAATTGAGCAGGCATGTGTGGCTGAGGCAATAGCAAGCCTTCGTGAGGCTGTGCTGGGAGTGAGCACATACTGGCTCACTGGTTGGGGTTTCTTGTGGATGACATGGAAAAAAATGTTGGTTTCTCCTTGCTCAGACAATGCTTTTCAAAGAAAAAGAAATAATTCTTCCTTGAGCTGTCACAGAAGAGCTGTCATATCATGGATCATTTGGGGTACTTAGTACATTTGTTTTTAACCTGTTTTGTTGTTGTTTCTGTTTTTAAACTTCAAAGCAGATACACTTTCTCCCTGCCCTTCTTTACCCCACACTTCTCCCACTCCATATGCAAAACATTACATGTTCTCCTAGAATGATTATTTTTTATAGCTGTCTGAAAAACCTAATGAGCATTTCCAGTTATGATCTAAGTGCAGAAGCGGACTAGAAATCCTTTGCTTCTTGGAGAGTGACAGTTGATGACTAGAAATCATACAGATAACAGGCTTTTCCCTAGAACAAACCTTGCTTTATTAAACTTCCTGTTCAGCAACAAAATCTTCTATGGCAAATAAATCATAGTTCTTCATCTCTGTTTCTGCTGATACAGTCAAGGGACTAAGCCTTCTAAACAAATCAAATTGCCAGTCTAAAAGCAGCATTGTTAAGCTGTTGCTGGTAGCGCAGACGCGATCCAAAATGCTCCATGTGAAAGACCGAGAGCAGCAACATTGCAGCACAGCTGCATTAAATACTTTGTTAGACCATGCTTGATGTTCCTAAATGAGAAATCTTTCAGCCTTTCTTACTGCCTTCCCTTTCCTGCAATCCTTTTAAGATGGGAATCTTTGCACTTTACAACACTTTTGAAAAGGGTTTCATTTATTATTTTTTTGTGCTACAGAAGTAATCTACTGTATTTGTAACTGCTTTTTGAACTATCACATTGAGGGCGATCTAGATAAAATGCTGGGCGATTTAATTTAAAAACAAAACCTGAATACAATCTGTTGACACCATTGCACTGTGTGGCAGAAGAGGTCACAGAAGTGGTGATGTGTGTGACTGTGAAAGAAGGGAAGCTTCCTGTGGTGGGAAAGACTCACAGAATAATGAAGAGCTTTAAATCTGTATCAACCATACACAGTAGTGAGGTGAGGAGAGCTTATGGTTTGGAATGTTATTTACAGTTTTAGGTTGCTGCTCGTCATCTTGGATCCCTCTGTGCATTGATTCCAACGAAAGTTATTGAAACCATCGCACCAATGTGCAAATACATTTTGGAAATTTTACCCTTGGAAATCAAATAAATCAAATCTCATGATCTTTCACTGATAGACTTCAAAACTTGAAGTTACTGGGCTAATCATTGTGCTGGAATCGAATTTAGGCTTATGCAGTCTTCAGCTGCGTGATTATATGGTTGTTTTGAAAGTGCCAATGTCTAGCTCTATGGAGATAGTAATAGGAGAAAGCTAAAGTCTTGATTACAGGATAGCCACATGAAAAGAGAAACCATTAGATTTAATTTGATCTTTGCTTTCATAACATTGTCAAGCCAAGCTAAACTGCTAAACAAATTAAATATTAGCATGGTAATTTGTACATGTCAGCTGCCAGAGTTGTAAATTCTGTCCTGGATACCTACCCAAATGTTTTTACTAAACCCAAAATCTGTTGGTACCAGTGTTTAGCTGTGGATATGTATAATCATTCTTGCTTTTCTTAATCTTTTTGTAAATTTGACATTATACCACACTCCCAAAGTAAGCATGTGAATAATTCTATTAATACTATATGATGGTAAGTTATACTGGACAATGTTAGATAGCGCTGTGCTATGTAGTATTATGTAGTACTATAGTACTACTGTATAATTCAATATAAGATTAGTACATATTTTCCTAGTGCTCACTGCAGATTTGATACAAAACCAGGTCAAAAAAGTAACTATTTGGTAGCCTTAGAAACCAGTGAGCATCTATTTTATGGAGATATTTCAGAAGTTACTAGTATCTCTAGGAGAAAAATAGTGCTTTTAGAAGTAAGCACATGCTGAAGCAAAGAATAGGTCTAAAAGTATATGTCCGTAATTTTTATCAGTGTTTTTTTTTTTTCCCCTGAAATCACTAAACATACAAAACATTATGGAATTAATGAGAAGCAAGCTTTGCAACATCTCTCAATTCTTTCTGGGGTGAAAACATTCTTGTCAAACAAGTGAATGGTTTCCTTTAAATATAGTTTAAATACTATTTGAAACTGAAAAATGTTTGAACCTATGCTGCAAATGTGTATTTTCTAATTGGCTGATGTATTAGAACTTAAAAAGCAAAGTATTACCCCTTCTTTCCCCTCGGGAAAGCCTTTGCTCCAGTAGTCCCTACAAGTGTACTCTCTGGTGATGTCTTGTATTTATTTAAATTTCAGGATCTGTGGTTAATATATCAATATAGTCATTGGCTTTAATATAACGGTATTAAAAAGGGAGAGCAAAATGCCTATGACCGTTCCAAGTCTTTCCCCTCTTTCGTTCCAGCATGTAATGTTTGGTACCTGAATTCAGTGGAGATGGAGTCCCTCACAGGCTACCAGGCGGTACAGAAAGCCTTGAGCTTGACACTGATGCAAGATCCTGCTCCTGTCTCAACCGTTGTCCATTTCAAGGTGTCTGCACAGGGAATCACACTGACAGATAATCAAAGAAAGTAAGCAAAGGAGGGATGGGAAGAGAATATCCAGCCCTGTCCCCAGCAAGTGTTGGCTGCTGTTGATTTAATGTTCCTGGTTACATTCTGCACATTCTTCATTTTTGGAGGGTACTAGGATTATCTAAAGAGTCGTGGTGACAGCGTAAGCTGGCTGTAGTACTGGAGCTATGGACATTAGTAGTATTTAAGCTATGTACATTACTTCCACATGGCATATTTTACCTCTGGAAGGTCATTTTGCCATGGCATTTTTTGGTTGCTATTTCTTATAAAAAGGGAAAGTAGTGGTTTTGCCAGCATTTGATATTGAACCTACTCAGTGAAATGATTTATCCTCACAGTGTCTTTCACTAGTATCACCGAACAGAGTTGAACTGAAGCAGATGCTGTGTATCTCCAGTATTTGAAACAGTACTTTGGATAGCCTGTGAGAAACTATGATAAAAAGTTAATTTATATTTACTTCATACTAAATGCTATTTAGGCTACCATGAACTCTTTCAATTTGAAAAATGACAATAACAAAGAAGGGACAACAGGAATTTGTTATAGATGAAAAAAAAAAAAGTGCCAGACTTCTTAATCCTATGGGGTCTGCAAGCCCCATAGGTTTGTAGCAGATCAAGGACAGAACCTTAAACTGTAGTGCTTAGGAGTGTGTATATTTTGAAATGTAACATAATCAAATCATGCACAAGTTCCAAGAAGTTGCATTTTGCACTAACATTGTATCTAAAGGGCCAGTTTTTAGAATACTCCTAAGTCTTTTTTCTTAGCTTGAAGGTCAGTTTTCCTTTGGTTCAAAAAGTTGTGTTGCTTGGAGCAGTTTGGGTGGCTTCCAAAGTCACTCAGAAATAGCAAAAATTTTCATTGTTAAGACTAAAAATAATTAATTTTTCAGATCTGTTTATTGCTTAATATTTTAAGCACCTTAAATGTTTCTGAAATTTGCTTTTTTTCTTCCTATCCAGACTCTTTTTTCGGCGACATTATTCAGTCAATACTGTTATTTTCTGTGCTTTGGATCCACAGGACAGAAAGTAAGGAAGATAAGCAGTATTTTTAATATGCTGTTTGTATTGTTGATCTACCAAAAAAACGCCCACCCCTCCCCCCCCCAACAAAAAAACCCACACAAAAACAAACACCCCCCACCCCCCCAACCAAAACTAACATAGGTTTCATTTTTGTTTCTCCATTTTTTTTTTTTACTGCTTTCTTAATGGACAAGATGGATGAAAGATGGCCTTTCTGCAAAGTAAGTGGACACGTTTATGAGTCTCTTTTAACTGAATGTTTTAGGTGATCAGTTTTTCGATGTTCTAAATTACTTTTGTCAGAGATGTAGAAGGGAAAGCAGCTGTTCAGAGACATAAGTCTCAGCCCACTGTAATTAAGCAAATACTGTTGTCCCCCTTTAACCAGAAGACAACCTAAACAGAGAGGTTCAGGCACTTGTTTCTGGAAAGTGAAGAAGAGTAAGAAAGAGATAGATGGTCGAAGTCCTCTTTACAGTAGTCTGTCCACTGAGATGTGTGTCCCTCAGAAACCTCTCTTTAGGCAATCCCTGATACACCACACCACACCCTCCCCACGGCAGGTAAGAAAACAGCAGTATTGAATCAGATTCAATATATCCCAAGGGTCAGCAGCACTTCTCTGACAACACACAGAGTAGAAGGAAGGGGACAGTCTCCTTCTCTGATTCTCTTCAGAGATGTCCGGTCCATCTGGACCACTGTGTTTAGCAGTCATATGGGGGCTCTGTCCATCAGAGCAGAGGAAGTCTGGTTTATGTGCTTCATTTCTGCAGTATCATTTTGAAGAGAGGCGATGCCTATCTGTCTGTTCTCTGACATACTTTGATTGCTGCCCTTGCAGAGTGTTTGGGTTCATTGCCAGGAAGCAAGGCAGTGCCACAGACAACGTGTGCCACCTCTTTGCAGAGCACGATCCAGAGCAACCTGCCAGTGCCATTGTGAACTTTGTATCAAAGGTCATGATTGGATCCCAGAAGAAGATCTGATGCCTTTCCTTCCATCCTTGATTTAGAGCTCTTCGCTGACTTCACTGAAGGAAATCACTGTGAGAGGGAGAAAGGCTATTCAGCAACAGTCTGAACCTTGTTATTCCCAATAAAGAAAGCAGAGGATGGCCTGTGTACTGTATTTGCAAGAGTTCAGACTTCTATTTGAAGATGCCTCTGACTTCACAAAGCATTATTTCTTTGTTTTTATACCAGAGAAAAAAAAAGCTGGGTGCCACCCAAACCCATGTAGCCCATACCTGTATGAAGCATAAATGAAAAACTTTTCTCCTGAAGGGTTTCTAATGTATCTTCATGTGCTGTTTCTCATCGTTTATTGGAGCAGAAATGCTCATTAGATTGTGCTACTTTTTCGTTCAGAAAGTATATAACCTCCACAAACACACTTGCCGTGGTTGCATCAGTGGTAGCTAGAGACCTTGCAGACATACTCTTAAGAGAACGATCGTCTGAGGAAGACTGTTTGCTCTTCCCTTCGTCTTTGTGATCAGTGATGGGAACTGAATAGAGAAAGGGGAAGAGGTATGTGAAGTGAAGGTTTGTGCAGGTTGATTTCTGATAAGAAAGGAGTGGCAGTTGGAATATTCAGTAAGATAGCTCTATATTTAGTGTTAAGAAGGCTGGGCTGTTTTACTTTGAAAATTTTTAAATAAGAGAGAAGTGGCAGAACAAAAAAAGTTTGTGTGGAAATCTGTAATTAGGGAGGTTTGTGTTGTCTATAGAAAGCACTAAGCAGGGAAGATTCTGCATTTCAATAATTACAGGATAACAATGAGGGGAAAGCAAAGAGAAAAATTGTATAATTTATGTATTTCTTACCTGTGCCAGCTTATTTATAGTAGATCTCAGACCTTGATATGTCATACAGGTCATCTGAAACGATATGATTGCTGAGCTTTGCCTCTTTACTTACTTTGTGTAAGTAAAAGTGTTTAAAACCTGTATAGAGACACTTTTGTGTTACAGGGACAAGATACATCGAGTTTTCTGTCTCTGCAGTACTGATTTGGTAGTAACATTTGTTCCCCTACCTAACAATTATATTTGTGGGTTCTTTTGCCCCATTTTTATTGAATTTTTGAGGATTTTTTGGCTTTTTTTTTTTTTTCCTGTCAGTAGGAACTATTTTTGATTTATAATTCCTTGAGTCAGGAAATCCGAAAGTGAATGGAATTTATTTTGTTCCTCTATCCCATTTCTTGAGAGCATTTATGTCATGATTTCTACAACCATCACACTCGTACATATCTCAGTATCGTTCTAAACACATTGATATTTGAAATGCATAAGAATGTTCTAGTTAGCTTTACAGAAAATTAGTACAGTAGGTGACAGTGGAAGCAAGGAGAGTAAGCCTCTGAGGTCTGGTGTGTAATTCCTGTGCACTCAAAAAGAGCAGTACTGGACCCCTCTCTGAGAACTAGTGGTAATAAAGGAGCTTTGGTGTTCGCAAGTGCTGAAAAGTTTCATTGCCCCTGTTTCTTTCACGTGTGGCTGTCAACATTATATTCATCACACGAGGAATAAAATGACGTGCTGAATACTGCAGGCTGAATGCCTGAGCCTCTGGATTAACTAGTAACTGTGCTCACTTTTAGATTTTAATCCATTTATCCACTGTTACTAAGTAATGGTTAAATGGAATGAGAAACTCTGGTTGAGCTACATTTTAAGAGGGTTCCATCAATTTGAGCTACATTTGTCCTGTATAAAATATGATGGGGTTTTTTAATAGCTCTCTTTCTATTTCCTGAAGTATTAGGACCATGAAACCTTATTCAGTGACCATAACCAAAGTGTTTTATTTGTCTAACTATGAATTTTGTATAAATAACTTTATGCTTTTTAAAAGGAATGGGGTAGGGAAGAGAGGGAAAGAGAAGAGAGATTTGAAGTTTAATGTATTAGGACCAGAAAATGGTGTATTAGTAGCAGTGGGCATTGGAAGTCTGTGGAGGGGTGAAGCAATCCAAAGTGCAGTAGCTACCATTGAAGCAACAAAGGCAAGTACCTCTGATTTTAACAAATAATTCTGTTCTTCTGGCACAGAGGTATACTACTGAGAGTTTATGTACCATCCAAAAAAAGAATGCAGTTCTTACTTCCAGGAGTTCTGCTCCTTTTTAAAAAATGTAAGGACAAGTTTTCTTTTAATACTCTTTTGGTGTACAAAGATTCCAGTTGCCTAATCTAGTCAGCCAGTCAGAGCCCAGAGAATTTCTTCAGGTGACATCTCAGTTAGATTTAAGTCTCAGTTAGATTTAAATCTGATGTGTTGTGAGCACTGAAATGAGGAAGAATTTTTTACTCTATTTTTTCACTTCTGTAGATAATACTTAAATTTTAGTGTGTCTTCTTAGACACCAAATGTTGGCCTTTGGGCTGAAAATAAACTTTTTTTTCGTGTATTGTTATTTCCATTCAGGGCCTTATTTTTTATTCCCTGTGCTTTTTCAAGGTCTGCTAAATTCAAAAGCATAAGGGATTGAATGCTGAAACTCCTGGTGATATTTCCTGGGAGTTTAGCTCTACTTGGTAAGTGGGAAAAGAGAAGTTACCCTGTTTCTAAGGGAAGTTTTCCGTTACGCATTTCTTTGGATGATGTAGTGCCATGTGCTCTTGCTTTTTAATGATTTAAAAAATGCACAAAGCAAAATAGTTCAGTATGTACCATCATGTAGTGTATGTAGAAAGATATTCATGGAACTTATATGTTCAAGGCAAATACAAGATTAAATCTTTAACACAGCACTTTCGAGATTTTTGGTAATGTGTATATGCAGTTTCATAACTAATGGCAGCAAGTTGACACGTGCATTTAACCAGACTCCTATTAACATAGTTAGTTAATGTGCTACTATAATCATACAGTGTTAAACTACAAAAATGCTAAAAGCCATGTTTTTAATTAAATGGTTTCAGTGTATCGAACAGTATCATTAAAAATTTATTGTTTCTTTCTTGGTTTTTCTATTAGTGAAAATTTTTACATTTTTCTTGAAACTGTAAAGAAGCATCTGAAGGTCTGCAGTACATAAATGAATGTTCTCTAAATTCTTTGTATAGTCATTTTCTCTGCTCTTCAGATACCACCTCTTTCAGATTATAATAAAATTATATTTGTGAAATTCCACAACACAGTGTGACATGGCCATCTGTTCTGAATGAAAGTTACCTTCTGATATTCAAAACCAGCTAATGAGCAAAATGTTCTTCGTGAATTAAGAATAGGTTGCGTGCTGGGGTTTAGTTTTAAGAAACACTTGATACTTATCTCAAGGACTTGACTTTGCATGAGTCTGTGTTAGTGGTTCAAGTCAGTTAAAGCATGTGATTTTCCTAGTTAATTTGTGGTTATAATGATATAAAAGTACCTTTCGCCTGCATTGCATATTTCAGCGTAAGAAGGAAGAATGTGATGTCATCTTCTGAGATGCTGTACCCATTTAACTGTATCTGCACAGTGACTATGCTGGAAAACCTTCCAGAGGAGCACGAGAGGAGGTGAGAAATCTCTCCCCCCTAGCTGAAATAGGTTTAAAATCAGTGCATTAGCCATACACCGAAGGTTGAGTAATATACATGCTTTATCAGGATTATTTTGGAGACTGTTATGTCAGGCTGATATGTCTGGTATGTCATGCTGATGCCTTTTCTCTGAGGCATAGGCTGGCAGGAGTTTTTCATTCAATGTGCTTTATGTCTGTCATCACTACAGGCTGTTGTGAGGTTTATGTGTGGGCGTAATGCAATAGAGTTATTAATGAAAAGTATTTATAATGTGGAACATTATAAATGACAAGGATGCAACAGCAAAATGAATCTTCTGTGCCAAGAGTCCAGTCTCTCCTGTTAAAAGTCTTGTCCTTGAACTTGAATGCCATTGTGCACGTGTGCTGCTCTTGAGTGCATTTGAAAGGGTCTGTTTGCTCTAGTGGATGAAAATCTGCTTTCAGTATTCATTGTAGATGTATTCACAACCAGTTTATATGCGGTGGTTCTTATGCCAGCATTGTGTCTTAGCATGAATAACTGTCTTCTCCCTGAGGTATTTATAGCAAGAGATCTGACCCCCCCCTTCAGTCCCTCAGTCTTCCTTTGGCAAGGCTAAAGAAGTCAGCACTAAGCCCTTACGTGGTTTTGTGTTTGAAAGGGTCAATATAAAAATTCCTTTGGAGGGATTTTTAAGTGAACAGTGAGACTCCTTAAAAAAGTGCATGAGAAAACTTGGCCTACCAAGATAGGTAGAGTAAATCCCTCATCTGCTTTTGCTGTTTACTCTGTGCACAAAGGTTACATCAGGCAGCGTGCACAAAGGAAATTACAAGGGTGAGTAGCTAAAGAAGTTCTTAGTACCCACAAGACAGAAACAGAAAGCTTGCAGGAATCCTAGCAAATCTGGCAGACTACCAAGAAGGCAAAGGGGAGCTTTTTAGAGAATTTAGGGATCTTACTGAATAACTAAGAAGGAATTTGCATTACATGTCACTGCAAGGGGCATCAAACTGGAACTATTCCCTTTCTTTGAAGACATTCAATGTCTCATAAACCAGAAATGTTTGGACCAATTTTATTGTTTTAGTATTTGCAGAATCATAGAGTGGTTGAGGTTGGAAGAGACCTAAGGAGGTCCTCTAGTCCACCTTCCCTGTTCAAAGAGGGCCAGAGCCATGCCCAGATAGCTTGAATATCTCCAGGGGTGGAGTCTCCACAATCTCCCTGGTCAACCTGTGGTAGTTCTCAGTCACCCTCACAGTAAAAAAATGTTTCCTGATGTTTGGAGGTAACTGCCTGTGTTTCAGTTTGCAAATCACCACCTGTCATGGAGCACCACTGGAAAGAATCATAGAATCATAGAATAGATTGGGTTGGAAAAGACCTCCAAGATCATCAAGTCCAACCCCTGATCCAACTCCAATTACTATAGCATGGCACTAAGGGCCACATCCAATCTCTGCTTAAAAACCTCCAGGGATGGTGAATCCACCACCTCTCTGGGTAGGCTGTTCCAATGCCTGATGACCCTCTCCGTAAAGAATTTCTTCCTAACATCTGGCTCTGTCCTCTTTGCGCCCTCCCATTATTTCTACGCATTAATAAACTCCCCCCGAGCCTTCTCTTCTCCAAGGCTGTGCAGTCCCAACTCTCTCAGCGTCAGGTTTGCGTCACTGACAAATTTGCTGAGGGTACACTCGGCTCCGTCATCCATCCAGGTCATTGATTAATATATTAAATAGGACTGGACCCACTGTGGACCTTTGGGGTAGACCACTGGTTACTGGCCTCCAACTACACCTTTCACTGCTCATTAGCTTTTCAATCCACTTTACTGTCTGCTCATTTAGCCCCCCATCAACAGCTTGTCTAGGAGGGTGTTACTCAAGACAGTGTCAAAGGCCATTCTGAAGTCCATGAAGACAATATCCACTGCGTTACCTTCATCCAAAACAGTAATTTCATCACAGAGAGTTATTGGGTTGATCAAGGATGACTTCCCTTTGATGAAGAAGCCATGCTGACTCCATGAAGGTGGTAAGAGTGCTGGAGCACCTCTCCTGAAAGGACAGGCTGAGAGAGCCTTGAGAAGCAAAGGCGGCTCCAGGGAGACAGCAGGCCTACAGCGAAGATGAGGAGGGACTCTTTATCAGGCAGTGTAGCGACAGCATGAAGGGTAGAGAGGTAATGGTTTTGAAAAGAGAGAGGGTAAGTTTAGAGGAGGAAATTCTTTAGTCAAAGGGTGGTGAGGCACTGGAACAGGTTGCCCAGAGAAGCTGTGGATGCCTCATCCCTAGGCCAGGCCAGGTT